CACACACACACACACACGATGTGCTTTGTCTTTCAGGTGTCTTTCCCTATTGTTTGTATACTTTGTCACAGCTGTAGCAGTTGGAGACCCAGCATGTCTGTTTGTTTCATCCTCAATTTCCCCCACCCTCATATTTTTCTCTTGTTTTTCTCTCATTTTTCTTCTTCTATTCCTCTAAATTTCTTCTTTTGCCAATCCAACCTTCACACCCTGTCCGCTCCAACATAATATCCACACACAGAATAATATGAATAATAAAATTAAATAAATAGATAAAACAAAAACATAAAAAGAGGAGCCTACAGAGGGTCTACAGTGCCCCTCTTGGGAAAGCAAATATGTTTGGCACAACAAAGCATTCAGACCATTACGCTTGTTACAGCTGCTGGACAGGACAGGTTTAAAAAAAATACTAATATACTCATAGTGAGGAAACAGAGTACACAGGAGGTGAAGCATCTTTGGTGTGGATGGCAGTACTCAGGTCCACCTGAGGCATTGAGTAGACAACATCAGTTGCTTCACCACAGGGGGCGCTGCTGGTGGCAGGAATCTGGGGAAGATGCACTTCAGCGTAGCAGAGGTTGTCTGCCTTAATGAGATAAAGAGGTGAGATCAAACATTAGACATAAGACTGTTAAAATTAAATAATGTTGAATATTTAAATTGAAAAACCCACATCTGAAAAAAAAAATCAAGAATACATTTTTGTCATAATCATCATAAAGTCTCTGAAGTCACCTTTCAAAATACCTTTGTAACAAAATCTGAACATGACAACGTTCACAAACGAAGGATTTACTAGACTGTCTTTTTTTCTTTAGTGTTTTATAGTTGTGTTAAATACAGATTAATTAACCTTAACGTTTGATAGACTTGTTTTCCACCAGAAAGGTGTTTGTTTTTTTTTAAATCCCACTGAGTATGAAGCTGATATTTATTCAAAAATACACATTTCAGTATAGAAAGGATTCTTTTGAATCTTTTTCTCAATTTAAAAGATTTTATCTGCTCCAAACAAAGAGGAAGAACTTTTATTTCTTCAGTCTTCAGTGGAACATGGCTCTTTGTGTCTGAGCACAGATGAATTACTTCACTACACAAACAGTTACCTGGTTTATGACCTCAGCTTAGAATCAGACCACAGTTTTACTCACGTTGTTCTGAGGAGAGGTGACGAGGCTGTAGAGGTCTATATTTTCAACTCCATCTGAATGGGGGTCTTTGGCGGTGGCATAAACTGAAGACACTTCTACAGGAGGTGACCTGCTCGGTATGTCAGACTTTCCAATATCTTCATACAACCTGTCGGCCTGCAGCAGGAGAACAAACCAGCTGACAGATACAAAGCAAACAATAATGAAGCTGATGTGTGTCACAGGTCCTAAAACCCACCTGCGTGTCAGCATACTCTGTTTCCACAGGAGGTCCTGAAAAACATGCAGGTCAGAAAATAAACAGCTGTCTTTAAGGCACATAACAGGAAGAAGAACCTGAGGAACTAAACTCAGGAACGATATGAAGAACTACATATGAACTACAGTTAAATAAGGTACATGGCTGATAAAGAATCAAAATCATATCAATCAAATCTGCTACAATTAGTTTCTGTTGTGAGTCATAAATGAACATCCGGTGCTCTTTTTACAAACAGACTGAACTGAAGTGAAAACAGCGTGACAGAAACGTCACACCTGACTTAATTCATGCAAACTGGGACATTCTGAGCTGAGCATGTTTAGCCTTTTCTGTTTTCCTAGCCTCACCTCTGGGTTTAGTGGTCCTGCTCTTCATGCAGCAAATCAGCAGAGCTGCTGATAAGACGACGATCATAATGAGCAGAATCAGACCCACATAAATCAGCACATCTGCAGGAGTTTAACAGAGAAGATTTCTTTTACTCACAGTGTAAACATGTGGCCTCCAGGTCTGTTCATCTAGCAGTAAAGTTGTGCACATACAGAATAACGTATCTTTGGACTGAAAACAGTTCCTCAAACACTATCTGACAAACTGTTTATCAAGAATGACAGAACAATTTATTGCTTCTAATTTATTCACTAAAATATCAGAGCGCTCCTTCCACAGCTCTTAATGTGTCATTCTTGTGTAGTTCTCTGATAACAACACATGAATGAACCCAAAGCCCTTTTCTACTCGAGCACTCATACGACCTGCCTTATTCATCCTTTTAGACAAACACTTTTTTCCTACACCTTGTGCTTTCTATCCAACAGTTACACTCTGATAAACACACTGGAATATGGGATCAGACGAATGGCCTTCCAATTAGAATATGACATGCTCTACCTGCTAAGCGACAGCCACCCAATATACCTGATCTTGCATGTTTGGTTTCTGTGAAGGCTGATGAAGGTGTGGAGCTTAAACTCTGTGTTGTTTCCATTTTGTGTGGCGTGGAGGCTGATGAAGGTGTGGAGCTTCCTGAAGTTGAGCTTAAACTCTGTGCTGTTGGTGGTGTGGAGGCTGATGAGAGAAACACTGAAGCTGAAAAAGGTCTCAGAGTCCCGTTTGGTGTTGAAGTGGTTGAAGCTGTGAACAATGAAACCATCAGAGTCATAATAAGACCACTTGAAGCAGTTTATATATCTGCATGTGACTGACGTGGTTATGGGCTGTTTGACAGCAGAACTGATGAAACTTGATGTTTCAGATAAATATAACATCTGTAGGTGATTTGAAGGAAAAGTAGCTGCTTTTGAGACGTGAAGCTTCTGTCACACCTTCAAAGACAAACACGACTGTTAGCAGAAACTCACCTTCTGTGACAATCAGCTCAAAATCAGAGTTTCCATCTGTCAACAAGACTCTGTCCAAAGAGCACCTGTACCGTCCTGAGTCAGACTGTTTCAGCTGTGTGATGCTCACATACAGAGTAGGATATGAGGTAATATATGTTTTTACATATTTAATTCTGTATCTGCCGTTCTGAGCTGCATCATCAGATGTTTCAACAAGAATGTTTCCATCTTCACATTTTTCCTTACAGAAGAGTTTCCTGCTTCCAGGCAAATAAAAACTGCATGCAACTGTGATGTTTCCTCCTTCCTCTGCTCTGTGGGTGCGAGTTTGTGCTTTGACCAAACCAGTGTTTCCATCCTGGAGTGCTGCTGAAAGGATGAACAATCATTAGTTACAATCTTACTATAGATTAAATGTGACAGATGATTATTAATTTGAACTGATGACAGAAGTTCAGTTAACTTCACTTTTCTGTTTTTATTTGCAAACAGCAAACTTCCTGTTTTATACACGAACACAAAGCATCTGATGTGGAAGATTCAGAGTTTAAGGTTCTAAAAAAGATAAAACAGTCAAAATTCATTTTTGTATCTTTGATGACATCATCATCATCATCATCATCATCATCATCATCATCATCGGCAACAGCTATTTCTATATTTGTATGTGAAATGAACATTTTAGTCGCGCTGCTAAACATCCAGTTCTCACTTTGTTGCTCTTCAGCTCATTAAGAGAAGAAATGAAACACAGAGTGTTTGTTTCATCAGCTCTACTATTATAAGTTTGTCTCTCATAGAAGAGTAGATGAAAGGAATTTGATTATAGATTCAGTGTCCAACAAAAAGTAGAAGATTTCTGGGGATCAAACTGGTTTAAAACTAAAAATAATTTGCAAATTACAAAAAAGTTTGTGGAAACATTTAAATTCCACACAGATTTATATATTTCAAACTGGATATATTTCACAGATTTTCTTATGCTTTTAATAACCTGCATGTTTAACCACAACAACCACTAACTATGAGGGAGAACAAGGAAATGAAGAAGGAAGTTTAAAATTTAAAAATAAAATGGAGACAAATAAAAGTTAGAACAGAGAAAGTGACAGAAATAAGAAGAGAATTTACTCACTGAGGAAGATGAAGCAGAGCAAAGTGTGCTTCATCTCAGAGCTCTGATGGTTTAATGCTGCTTCTCTTCTTCTTCACTTCAAACCAGGAACTTCTTACTTCTCTTAATGATGAGGTCACGCCTTCAGAACTCACACACACCCACACAAAGACTTTTTTTAAAACTGCAATAATGTTTCTTTATTTAAATTTCCTGTTTCCTCACATAACATAAATGTTTTTGATTTTCAGAGTATCATTCATGCTCTAAAGAAACCGACTGCGTGAGGTTTACTAAACTATAATTATAGGATATAAACTAGACTATTTTATAACTAGACTAGTTGACTAATGTTGGCTGTCCTCCATTTTCATCACACCAAACAGAACAATCTTTAGTATTTCATTTATCAGACGATGCAGAAATAAAATGTCTATTTATTTACGACTTCTATTTTAAGTTGTGTGTCACAAACTGAATCTTTTAATGTTCAGAAGTTCATCCAGTCTCTATCCAAACTTAAACACAACAATGCTTTTAAAGGAAATATTTACCAGGTGTTTATTTTTTTATTCATTCTTTTTAGATCATTTGAATTTTATTTATTTTTGATATTGTGTTGTTTCTGAAAAAACTCTGACCAAACAGAATAACCTTATATATGTTACATTTTTATTTTACATGTTTATAAGCAATTCTACCCCCAGGTCAAAAACATACAAAAGAAATAGACAAGTAGCCCCCAACCCTTGGGTCATGGAGCGGTACCGCTCCGTGAGAGTTGATGCTTGTTTTTATCCTTAACTCGGTTTCCCTGGGTCTTTTCCTGTGTGTTATGAATAAATCTTCTTTGTTTTGGTACTGGTTTTATTTTGTTGTATTTATCCGCGACACCTTAAAGGCCGGTCCATGAAAATGCTGTCGGACATAAACCGGTACACATATATATATACATATGTAAATGTACCTGTACACGTGGAAGCAAGGACCTCACAGCACATGCATACTCCAAGTGTATTATAAGAGTTTGCTGCACACAAGATTGGCAAAAGTACAGACATCTGTACTTACTTAGAAGTACAAATACTGCTGTGAAAAAGAAGTTGAAGTACTGATTCAACTTCTTTAGTCAGGTAAAAGTAAAAAAGAAGTACAGGCTCTGAAATGTAAAGCAAAAGTAATAAAGTAAAAAGTAGCTCTTTGGAGGATATTTCCATTTTGGTGCAACATAACATAATTATAAAATAATATCACTAGATGGGAATAAAAACTTTTGTTACGGCAGTGAGCACCGGTGTGTTTGTGGGTCAGACCCAAAAGCAGACACAGGAAAAATGAACTGATGATCAAACAAACAAACAAACAAACAAAC